GAACCTGTCTTTGTGGACTTTGATGAAAAGGAGACAATTATTTAAAGTTCTGGATACAATTGTGGTAACCCACAGAGTAACATAAGGGGAACTATTGCAGATTTTGCAATAAGAAACAGAGTAGAGAAAAATAATTTGTTTTGTTAATTAGGTTCTAAAGTAACTGAACTAGTGTGTGTGAATATGCACTACTGGCACTTGTGTTTATAATTTTAAATTATAATAAATAATTAAAAACAACGTTTTGTATTTACACAATAACAACTTTATTGAAGCCGTACAACTTCCTCTTTAAATTAGAAATATCACTCTACATGTACATGTTTTGACGTGATCTACGTCATATTCAGGAGTAACTTACAAGACTATTTTATATTTTCCCCTTGTCACATTACTTCATTGTTATTTGCATATTCCCTTAGTGTAGTAAAAATAAGAAATAAAAAAAATATATTTATAATATATCTCGTCAAATATCAAAGTATTGACTTGCTGGTCCTTCATCTCTATTTAATACTTGTTTTTGTTTTTTATATTTCATTATTTTTATGCTATATTTATTGGTATACCAAGAAAGAAAAGTAGTTTAATTAGATTTTGATTGTAACTCACTAAAACCCCATGACATGCACAGGAAAACGATGTCCACGGAGAGATGGTTAATAGAAATAAAGGATCATAATTTAAAGTCCTACTGGACATAATATAACATCCCAACAGGACTTTTGTGTAATATAAATAATCATAATTTAACATCCAACTAAATTTTGTCTAATGGAAAAGATAATAATTTAACATCCTACTGGTCTTTTATATAATAGAAATAAAGGATCAGAATCTAATGTCTCACAAAACTTTGTGTAATGGAAATAAAGGATCATAATATAACATCCCAACAGACTTTTGTGTAACAGAAATAAAGGATCAGAATCTGATGTCTCACAAAAGTTTGTGTAACGGAAATAAAGGATCATAATATAACATTCCAACAGACTTTTGTGTAATAAAAATAAAGGATCAGAATATAATGAATCATAAAAGTTTGTGCAATGGAAATAAAGGATCATAATATAACATCCCAACAGACTTTTGTGTAATAAAAATAAAGGATCACAACTTAATGTCTCACAAAAGTTTGTATAGTGGAAATAAAGGATCATAATATAACATCCCAACAGGACTTTTATATAATAGAAATAAAGGATCAGAATCTAATGTCTCACAAAACTTTGTGTAATGGAAATAAAGGATCATAATATGACATCCCAACAGGACTTTTATATAATAGAAATAAATGATCAGAATCTAATGTCTCACAAAAGTTTGTGTAATGGAAATAAAGGATCATAATATAACATCCCAACAGGACTTTTATATAATAGAAATAAAAGATCAGAATCTAATGTCTCACAAAAGTTAGTGTAGTGGAAATAAAGTATCATAATATAACATCCCAGTAGACTTTTGTGTAATAGAAATAAAGGATCAGAATCTAATGTCTCACAAAAGTTTGTGTAGTGGAAATAAAGGATCATAATATGACATCCCAACAGACTTTTGTGTAATAAAAATAAAGGATCAGAATATAATGTCTCACAAATGTTTGTGTAACGGAAATAAAGGATCATAATATGACATCCCAACAGACTTTTGTGTAATAAAGATAAAGGATCAGAATATATTGTATCATAAAAGTTTGTGTAACGGAAATAAAGGATCATAATATAACATCCCAACAGACTTTTGTGTAATAGAAATAAAGGATCACAACTTAATGTCCCACTGGATATTTGATAATAGAAATGAAGAATCATAATTTAATGATACAGAAGAAAAATTCCATGACTACTTCTCTTAAAGTAAAGTGCTCAGAACTGGTGAAAATCCTAGTCAGAATCCACTCATCATCATCACCAATGTATGAGAATATGCTATGGTTCCTGGACTAGTTACAACTGCAGTGTGTGATATTGTATGAAAAGGAAACTGATGTACACTAAAAGCTTATGTAAAGAATTCAAATACTTCTTCAAGATGGGTTTAATAATAATAACATATAATAAACGGTGTATGATAATCAAGGATCTGATGTCAGGAATGTTAAGTTATAGAACTTTAAAATATGTTACATTTTATTACTAATAGTAATAATGCAATTTTTTATTTAAAACTTTAAATACTGTTATGCACTGTCTTTCATCCAAGTCAAAACATTCCATTTTAATAGTTATTTCTTGTTGAAAGTTTTGGCAAGAATCTTAGAGCAATTTCTACATTAGAATGGTGTAAATACTTCAGAAATAGAGATATAAAATAAGGTAAGTATTCTAACAGTCATCTATGAAAAAGTTCAGTTTCCCTGAGCTGCCAATTCTACATGTACCTTCAAAAGGTTTTTTGTAATTCTAGTAGGCCTAAGTTGAATTTTAAATTACTAAATTTGTTATATTGTGTTAGATCAAATGACTCAGAATTTACTTTACATTTTTATACCCAACAAATCTATGAGTCAACTACCAACCCCAAAATATTCTATTTCAAACCAGTACAAATAAAATAAGCAAGAAACTGAATAACATTATAAGAAAACATACTTTTATGATAATTCATTACACTTGAAATAAAGATAAATACCAAACAGTAATTTCTAAATTCCTTCGTTTGGTGATAGTGTTGCCCATTCATGGTGTTAAAAAAACACGTAGGTTTGAAAAATCAACTGAAGACAAAAATACAAAACCCTATAATTCAAGTGCTTTCAAAAAATGGACTCTTCTTCAACAGAGGTAAACTGGGAATACAGTTTGCCCCTGAAGAAGAAAGATACACCTTTTGAAAGCACTTTGCTATTTATTATAGTTTGTTGTAATATGTGACTTCATTAAATTAATACCAAAATAACACTGTGATCAAATCAACAAAAATAAAGTTTTATCTTTTATACATTACTAACCTTCAAGAACGTCTCTGGGAAAGATGTAAGTATTGATTCCAATAATTCCAAACCAAATGTTCGTGTCATTTCTGTCAATCCAATTAACCAATATGGCTGGTCAGCATTCACTAGTTGTACAAGGTCCTAGACAAGAAAGTAAGTGAGCTGATCAACACATACATCATATTCAAAACAGAAGAAGATGTGAAAACATTCTTTTGTGTTAATCACAACTACACACACAATTCTGGATAAACAAAACATAAATGAATGTCAAACATCCTGTTGAAAATAACTATATCCATTCACAACATCATACAAGTCAAATGGTTATTGAAAATACTGTCAATTAATCAGAACCGAACATACATTCTTATTCAACACCATTTACAAACACGACAAAAACATTTGACAAACCATCATATGTATTCTTATTAAATTGTTTCTTACAATTAGTAAGAACAGATGATAAATCATTATTCAACATAACCCAAGAACAAAATCTAGAAGGTGTAATATTAACTGTCTTTTACAATTAACTGAATGTGCATGGGGTTAGTTTAGTGGACCAACCCTATATAGGAGAAGGAATGTTGACTACAATTCTGAATTTACTACACGCATCTACAAAACATATGTCAAGCTTTAAGTCAAATACACAAGTATGTTGTACACAAAAAATCAGATGTATTATGAATGTATTGGTACATCTGTGAACTACTGACAACAGTCTGATTAAGACTTTGACAAGTCGGAATGCAAGATGATGTTCAAGTGAATAATAAAAATACTTTTGTCTATCATACAGTTTACATGTTGCATTTCTATAACTTCTTGAACCTTCAACATGCATGATCACAGTAGTTTTCAGGACCTCTGTATATTGTATTTGGTATTTACTCTCCTCTACCACAAATTGCCATTAAATCATAAAATGTAAGGTAGAATGAACAGTTGATAACTCTGAATTCAAATATATGATACCATATTGAATGACACCCTGTAAAAGGTCATTACATGCACACTTTGCTCCCACCCTTGGATATAGAGCTAATCAAAACTGATCATAAATCATTACTCCACATCAAAAACATTTAAGAAACCAGTAGGGGCAGTATTATTAGATGTCTTTTACAATTAACATTTTCCGTACAAAATTGATCAATTCGACCCACCTTGAAACTAATTTTTAATAACAAACCTATACATAACTCTAAATGAACTAAGTATATCTTCCTGAAATTTGGAACATTTTTAGTAACCATTACAAGTCTGTTCAATATAAATATAAATGTTGGAGGTATCCCACACTTTACAAAATTTAAAAATCAAAAACAGCTAAAATAGGATAGAAAAATATATATCATTTAAAAACAACATTTTGCCAATGTTAACATGGCATCATCAGGTATTCAGCACAATTGTACATGACACTAAGTACACCCAGTTGGTGACATCAACCATATAACCTTGAGAAGTATAAACCTACTCCTTGTGTTTTATTTATAAAAGGTTTGTATTCCTTTATTAAAATGGCTTCTTTTATTTTACATTTATTAATGTTAGGTTCTCGACAAATAATTTTAACAATTTTGTTTTCATTACAATGTTCTGTATCTTTTAAAGTGTTGGTAGACATGTGACGGAGAATGTCCATGTTCTACTATTCTAGTATTTAAATTTCTACCAGTCTCCCCTATATAGATTATTACAGTCCATACATGTTGACAGACATTTGATGGAGCATGTCCATGTTCTACTATTCTAGTATTTAAATTTCTACCAGTCTCCCCTATATAGATTATTACAGTCCATACATGTTGACAGACATTTGATGGAGCATGTCCATGTTCTACTATTCTAGTATTTAAATTTCTACCAGTCTCCCCTATATAGATTATTACAGTCCATACATGTTGATAGACATGTGACGGAGCATGTCCATGTTCTACTATTCTAGTATTTAAATTTCTACCAGTCTTCCCTATATAGAGAGATTATTACAGTCCATACATGTTG